CGTTTTAGGTAAGTAGTACGTTCTTTCGTAATAGTACAAGGACGAGTACGTTTTACGTTAAGTAAGAAGTAAAATAAAGTAACCTAACTACATTACTAGAAAGAAACAATACAATACATAACGACATAATACTCTCTCTCTGTCTCTCTCTCACACTCTCTCTCTCTCTCTCTCTCTCTCTCTCTCTCTCTCATATACATACTAGATGGTGTGAGACTGCAGCATCACTTTGTTGAAGGCTATTATTGTATGGGTACGATGCAATATTTGTGCGCTAGCACCTTGCTGCCACTGCATAGTGTTGAACACCACTAACTTCAAATGCAAAAAGCAATGAATAAATCTCGTTTTGAGTCAGAAAAAATCTCCCCAGCGAACTAAACTAGTCAAGTGGGAAGGTTGTACAAATGAAGAACCAGGGATGGTTGTGGTTCTTTCCATTACATAATTTTTATGTTGATTTGCAATTACATTGTTTCTTCGAATGTGATAGCATTATGGTATAGCACTATAACTTAGGTGAAGGGTCAGATTCAATTCCCATTGTTTCTTCAAATGTGATAGCATTATGGTATAACAATATAACTTAGGTGAAGGGTCGGATTCAATTCCCATTATAGACTTTCTTCTTTCAAGTGCTTCGCACAAAATTTTGGAAAACTAGACCAGTTTTTCTAAGTAAGGCTGTGAGTTGGACTCTATATTGGCACATACCCAAGTTGGCCTCCAAGTTCATGTTTTTAAAAATTGCTGAAGCATAGCTTGGTTTTATTTTTATATTTTTTACTTTTATTTTTGTTGGGGGTGTGGGGAGTAGATTAATTACATAAAGAGTGACCCCGCCGGTACTTTATCAAAGAGAGAGTAAAAGGTGTATAGAGAAAACAAATACAAATGAAAAAAGGGGATGGCTGTGGTTCTTTCCTATACATAACTTTTTTATGTTGATTTGCAATTTCATTGTTTCTTCGAATGTGATAGCAATATGGTATAACACTATAACTTAGGTGAAGGATCGGATTCAATTCCCATTATAGACTTTCTTCTTTCAAGTGCTTTGCACAAAATTTTGGAAAACTAGGTAAGGTTTTCTAAGAAAGGCTGGCGAGTGGGACTATGTATTGGCACATACCAAGTTGGCCTCCAAGTTCATGTTTTTAAAAATTGCTGAAGAATAGCTTAGTTTTATTTATTTTTTTATTTTTTATTTTTATTTTTGTTGGGAGTGGTGGGAGTAGATTAATTACATAACGATTGACACCGCCGATACTTTCTCAAAGAGAGAGGAAAAGGTGTATAGGGAAAACAAATGCTAATTTCATCTTTTTTTTAGCATATTTTTCTAGGGTATCATTTTCCTTGGAACCAGAGCGAATTATATGCATGAAACCAGTAGCACTTTCAAAAATAATTCCAGAACCCAGTGTTATATCCATTGTTTTCTTCGGAAATATGCTAGAAATTGTGAAGCACTACATAGTAATATGGGATGCATGACTACTGTTTGACTGTTTCCATCATCTTCATATTATGGCCAATAATGTAACTCATACAAACTAAGGAAATAAAAGACTAGATATCAAAATGTTAAGAATTTCAACATTGTTGCCTAAAAACTGGAACAGAAGAAGAACATTATACATGAATCATCATCTCAAGTAGAACAATCACAGACAATTCCAAGGAAACTAAGTCTTTTGACATATACTAATTTTGAAGTCAGAAGAAGCAGCACATACCTTCAGTTGATGAAACTTCACTATCTCCTCTAAGCACAGCTGGTCGATGTGATTCCCTGTGGATTTCAAAATATTTTCTGCTCATAGAAGAATAGAGCAATCAATAAGATCCAATCATATAACTAGCAGGAAATTGAACAAAAAGGCTACACAACAGAATCAAAGATATCCAATTCCAAATAGATCGTGACATATAAAGATCGATAGATGGATAGGAACAATTATTTAACAAGGGTTTCTCCCTCTAGGCTTTATAAAGACAAGCAAAAGCAATAAAGAAAAGGAAAGGAAAAATTCATAGCATTAAACAAATTGGAAGCACTCGTACGATTGAAACATACTTATCCACAACACTACATCTTTGCGTCACTTAGGTTACTTAACTACGAGAAACAACATCCTCGACAATGGAGGGAGGAGGGTCTGCAACATGAACCTTGCATATGCGACTCAACGTTTGCAAGACGTTCAATTAGATTCATACCTCACTTCTCCTTTACCCAACATCTTGAACATGATCCACAGTCTTTGGGTCTTCAAAACATAATCAATCAATGTTTTAAAATGAAGGATGCAGCCCGATGCATTAAGGGGGCCGATGCAGCTTGATGCGGTCCAAATGAGGGTGCATCACCACAATGTGGTCAATAAATATAGAAAAATTCTGAAAATCTAAAAAAATGTTAATGCATAGGAAAAAATATGGAGGTGATTTATGTGATAGTAGTATTTAGTTTATTCATGAACTCCAAAAGTATTAGTTGTCGCCTGTCGGAGATTCTGTATCAATATCAACTATCCCCTGATAGAAACTAGAAACTTGAAAACAACTTCATAAGACATTCAACAACCATAATCACAATCACAAATTGCAACCACTAACTTTGACGTTACAAAATACAAACTAAAAGTATCGATTTCTTCTCGGCTTTTGAATCCCTCGATTTGATTCAAAAAAAGCCAAGGATGTGGCTATTGTTAGTTAGTTGTTCGGGGGGTTTAATACCCACCTAAATCGTTTTCTCCCCTTTTTTGAGGCTCAAAATGTCCAAAATATCCCTTCTCAATGGTTTTTTTTTTCACAAAATCGACTGGCTGCATTTGCGGAGTATGCGAGATGCGACCATATATGCAGAGAGATGCGGCGCATATGCGGGCACATCTCTCCAAAGCGCATATGCAGCTTGTTGCAATGCGCTGCCCAGCGCATAACACTCTATGTGGCCGCATTTAAACCATGCATTCAAGTACAATTGAACATATGCCACAAATATCTATCCCCAACCAATGTGTCAAACTAGATCCATGGGGAAACATTTCCTATAAAGGAATGTTTAACATAAAAAAAAAATCCCCAAACAAACTGCCAATGAGGATTTACTTGACCCCAAATTTTATATATACACTCTCTTGAACCCAATGGACATTCTAAGGAAAACAAAAAAAAAGAGCTAAAAATTAGTATTCTTTAAGAGAGAGAAATCTAGAGCATAACTACCATTGATTTTAGACTTAAGCTTCCAAAACTCAAAACCAACTTTTTTTCTTTTTAAATTGTTCATATCATGCTTATGGCATCAATCTAATACCATTTTTCTGGACCAAAATTCAATATATTTTCTCTCTTTGTAGAAAAAAACCATTTTTAGGGGTTTTTTTGGATTTATTTTTTAACAAGCTTGTTCATTAGGATGAAATAGTTCTGTAAAAATGCTACTAAGACTAGACTGAAAGTGAAGCATTGGATTAATCAAACAAATTGAACAGGAATGGTTTACTAGTCATATCAATTAGAATTTCAAAAAAAAAAAAAGAAAAAGAAAAGAAAATACAAATACGTTGTAAAGTAGAGAAAATAGGAAAAATTCTGCAGTATTTAAAAAAACTAAGAATTTAAGAAAATTAATAGGGACAATAAGACAAATTATAAGTTCACAAATACCGAAGATAGAATCTAAAATTATAAAATATGAAAATATGAAAATATGACACCACATCATGTGATGTACTCCACTAAGGTAGACAATGAATTTGTATGGTATGGGAAAAGTTAGCTAGTGTAATAGCAATGTGAATCAAATCATAATGATCTTATCCAATTATCACTAATTAAAAACTACAAAGTCCCATACTAGCACATTCCCACTCTCACTCTCATAAAGCAAAAACTCATAAAGAGTCAAATGCAAAAGGGTACAATTCAAAAAACTCATGAAGGCCTAAGAAAAAACCACTCAAACGACTCAAATCCCGCAGTTAGATTGAAACATAAATGATTATATAACATATATGCTAATACAAATAAATCCAAGTCATATGTAATCTCCATTATCTTCATCTCCTTCTTCCTCATCATTTCCACCTTCCTCATCACAGCTCAACACACACACGCACAAATAAATCCAAGTCATATGTAATCTCCATTATCTTCATCTCCTTCTTCCTCATCATTTCTGCCTTCCTCATCACAGCTCAACACACACACGCCCAACCAGATGCCCATGAGTGCACTATAGAGAGGGAAACCCTGCCAAATGCTGATGAGTGAAATGCTACATTAATTTCACTTGATTGGACTTTAGGAGTACTTTAGTCTAAGAAGTTTAATTTCTTCTACAAACTTGTTTGAGCTGAAATTTGGAGGTTAGATGTGCCCCTGCCTTGCACATCCAATAAAAGTATAAGAAAAGGTAGATCTCATATAATTAAAAAGGAAAATTGTTTCATGCGGCAGGGACTGTATTTCTACATTTGCGGTCCCCAAGGTATAAGGTATCCATCTTAAAGATGGATGCAAATAGATGGTCCATCTAAAAATAAATGTTTTCTTAATAGAATTATTATTTTTAATTTTCAAAATTTATTTATTTTTTTATATTCATGATCTCCATGTTAGAGATTACATGTCCTTAAAAATTAGGTCCAAAATCCATCTCAAAAAATAGATCTTTAAGAGAGGACTCAATTCTACATGGACTCGTAGAAACCGTGCCCAATAAAAAATGATCAAACTGCCCCTATAACATCCAAGGGTAGTTTTGCCTTTTTAAATTATGTAAAATATTTTTCTACATTTTTATTAGGTGCATAGTGGTGTGGTTTACACATGCTCCAATTTCAGATTGATCTGATTTGTATAAAAAATATTAAAATTAAAATACTATTACACACTCTCAACCATCCGAAGTTTGATCGGATGGTTGATAGCCTTTAGGCCCACTATAGCATTTCCTTATATATAATTAAAATATAAAATTTCGCAAACTCCTAACCACTGAACAGTTTCCATGAATCAAAAGTTTTCATAGTTCCATTGAAGTGCTGAACAATCAAAAAGAAAATAAAAGACATAAATGCAAGCTAAAACCGAGAAAAAACCAAATGTCTATATACAAAAAAGTATATAAAATCCATCAAATAGACCAATGTTTATAACATTAAAGCCAAAAAACCATCATACCAAATGCAAGAAACCACTCATTGCAATGATTTGTTGGGAAACAAGTTCATTATTTGCAAAAAAAAAAAAATTAAATTTTTCTGAAATATAAAACAAACAAATCAAAAGTAAATTAAGGAAACCTACTTAGCGGTTTATATAATGCTGAATGAGAGACCAGAATCTCCTTAAAAAATATACCCCAAACTAGGGTTTTTCAAGTATAGAGAGAGAGAGAGCAAAACTCACCGAACTTGCCCTATCTTTCTCTAGTCCCCAAAACCCACCCAAATATTAGAAATTTCAATAATACCCCTAATCATACTAGAAAGAGCAAAAAAAACCACCTAATCATAACCCAAAATCATTATCATCATCATCATCATCATAACCTTTTCCCACTTAATTGGGAATCCTAGTCTGTCATTCTACTCTATTGAGGGTCATACCTTCAGTGAGGCCATAAGTCCTCATATCTTTTCGGACTACTTCTAAGTATGCCCTTTTGGGCCTACCCTTGCCCTTTTCGAGCCTTCCTCTTGAACTAGCTCGCACCTCCTAACAGGTGCTGTATTGGGTCTATACCACACATGGCCAGCTCACCTGAGTCTACTCTCTCTCATCTTATCGCCTATTGGTGCCACACTTAAATTTTCCCGAATGGATTCATTTTGAATTCTATCCCTTCTTGTCATGCCACTCATCCATCTCAACATCCTTATTTCCGCTACACTCAGTCTATAGGTATATTGTTTTTTATCCACCTAATATTTCACCCTATAAAATCTTATAGAACTTGCCCTTTAACTTCATTAGTATGCGACGATCACAAAAAATCCCAGTTGCACATCTCCACTTTACCCACCCAGCTTTAAGTGTGCGACATCTTCCTCAATCTCTCCATTTTCCTCGACTATCGACCCTAGATATCGAAAGTGCAATCTTTTTGGTACTTTTTGGCCATCAATCTTAACTACTTCCTCGTTTCTACTCCTATTATTATGAAACTTGCGAGGTCGGAGCTGGCCAGTTCAATCAAGACCGGTCAAACAATCCAAGGTTCTAACTAATTATTCTCTGATTTGATGTCAGTTCATTGGTCCCACCAATTCGAAATACTTGGTATGACTAGTGGATCTCTAGATTCTTAATCCTACCAGCTAGTATGGTCTGGTCTTAATTTCACTTGTCCACAAAATTTGGGATCCAATAGATCCCCTCAAATAGGTTTTTTTACGAGTTTTTAGCTTGTGACCTAATCCTTGAGAAGTTAGCACATGCGTCTACATAATATTTATACACACTCACATTTATATCTATGTGAGAAAACGTTTATATAAGACCTAGGTTTAACAATAAAAAATCAAGTTACACCTTGAAACCCCACTAGATAATGCAATTTTGATGCTGGAAAACTGTCAAATCAATCATCTCGACCTCAAAAAAATGGCTTTCAAGCTCTAAAAATAGTTTATCCTGCAACACATCTTCTGAACCACTCATTTTCAAATGTTTAAAGATCCATCAGATTTGCAAAAAAAATTTTAGCTCCAAATTCATAATCAGGATCACAAACAAATTTCAAGCCATCATAATGGTTTTCAGCATCAAAAATACATTTTCTAGAGAGGTTTTGAA